CACACTGGGGGAAAAAACCCCAAGCAAACATATACAGCAAGGCCACAGCCAGTGGAAATTCACTGGTGATAGTGTCAGCTCAGAGAGAACACCAGAGGAAGGGTTACAAGGACATTCTATAAAAACTGGTGTCATTTCAAAAACAACAAAAGGGCTTTTCGCTTCCATTAAAGTAATTACAAAGTCAAAGATGGGCTGGAAACCCAGGAGTAGGAAGTCAACACCTCTCCCTCCTGCAAATCCTAACAGTTCTTGCCAACAGTAGGTGGAAACTTGAATTTGCTCCCAAGGTGGCAAAGCACAAAGTTCCCTCTTTGAAGATCTTAAAAAGATCTGAAGTAATTTGCAGCTCTCAGTCCCTGAATTGGGAGATGTCAATGAACAAACCTTTGCTGCTGCCCTCAGCAAATACCCCCAGGTCCTTGCTCAGCACAGCTCACCTGTCATCCAGGTGATTCCACACCCGGGAAGAACCTAAAACCTTTTGATTTTCCTGTCTAAATGCCAACAAAAAATTCAAAAGCATTACCAAGGGTCTTGGTCACAGCCTCCCTGTGGCTGAACAGAGGATTTATCCCAAATTCTTGAGATCATGGATACACCAAGCAACGCTCCTGACCCTGTATTTTCTTTACAACCTTCAGAAGCCATTTTTGTAATAAATCTGTAGCAAAAAGCTAAAACCAAAAGCTGGAGACAGCTCCATTCCCCCTAAATAGGCAAACTGGATTTGTGTGGGATGGAGGAAGCAGAGCATGCACAAAAGCTGAGCAGCTCAGTAAGAACTGACATCCCTTCACCAGAGTCTGAAAATAAATTCCCATTGCCACAAAGACCACAAATTAATACAGAACTCTGGTGTCTGGGGTCTTTGCTTCAAACCAGGCTAAGATTTGTTCCATCAAACACTCCCACTTGCTCTCAGGAAATAAACATTTCAAACAAAACTAGAACCATCTCAGAAAGTCTGGAAATTGATCAAGACTCAAAGAGCAATTCTCAGGTCAGCAGGAGTTTCTCAGAAATGGCCCAGGGGCTGCTCCCAAGCCTCAGCCCCTGCTCAGAGTGCTTTCCAGTCAATGGGCTTCTTCCCAGATTTCCTGAGGAATTCATTGGTCTTGGAGAAGTGCCGGCAGCCAAAGAACCCTCTGTTGACAGAGAGGGGTGAGGGATGAACCGTCTGCAGGACGTGGTGACGCTTCTGGGGACAGCAGAGGAAACCACTTGTTGGATTTGCAAGCTTTGGCTGCTCCTGCTCCAGGACAGCTGTGATTTAGCCCCATTCCTCCTCCTCCAGGACAGGTGTAATTTAGCCCCATTCCTATTCCTGCTCCAGGGCAGCTGTGATTTACCCCCATTCCTGCTCCAGGACAGGTGTGATTTATCCCCATTCCTCCTTTTCCTCCTCCTGGGCAGGTGGGATCTCCCCTTACACGCCCTCCTGCTCCAGCCTGAGACCCAAAGATCCAGCCACAAGGACCAAGACTTCTGTCCCACTAAGCAAAGCCACAAATGCCCTGGCATTTCCCAATTGCTGTCAAGCCACCAGCAGATTTCCTATTGATTCATGAGCCCTCAGCTAGGACAAAACAGCTCTGTCCTTGTGGGACACTGCTGACAACAGGAGCTTACACTTGCTCCACTTTTCTTGCTTAATTCTGGCAAAGGCTAAGCTGGAGCAGAAGCAGAGCTCGAGCTGACAGAGTTCAGGCAGGAAAAATTCCCAATTCTGTAAGGGAAGTGCCCTCTAGTGTCCACCAACCCGCGGGGAAAAGCAGGGAGAGGGAAGGGCTGAGGAGAAGGAGGTGTACCCTGTCGATGGAGCTGCCTTTCCTCTGGGCATAGGCTCCCCAGAGCATGAAGACGAGCCCGTGCAGGTTCTTGTTGAGCCAGGACACCACAGCATCTGTGAACTGCTCCCAGCCCCTCTCCTTGTGGGACGTGGCCTGGTGAGCCCGAACCGTCAGCACCGCGTTGAGCAGGAGCACCCCTGGCAAACAAAGCACCCCCAGAGGGTGAAACAAGGCTTAATCCATCCCTGCACTGCCCAAGGCCGGGCTGGAGGGAGCCCTGAGCAACCTGGGAGAGTGGAAGGTGTCCCTTGGATAAGCTTGAAGCTCCTTTCCAACCCAAACCATTCTGGGATTCAAGCTTCTTTTTTTTCCTGCTGAAGCAAATTTTCATTTTAAGGTGCTCAGAAGTGATTTTCTCTCCTACAGGTGGATTATTTCCAGCCACAGGGCTGGTGTTTGGATAAGATTCTTTCCTGCTCCACAGGGAGCACATCACTGAGTGTCTCTGAGCTCACCTTGCTTGGCCCAGCCCGTCAGGTCCCCATGGCCAGGGTGGCTGAAGCCCTCAATGTCCTCAGAGAGCTCCTTGTAAATATTCTCCAAGCTGCAAACCAAACCAGCAGAAGATTTGTAATATGACAAGAGCAAGCAGCACCACCTATTGCTCTAAGCAGGCAAGAAGAGCATGGATTTTAAGCTTATTATTTAAGATAATAAAGCCATTTGCAGAGGCAGGGACTCTGTGTGTCTGCCTGGAAGCTTTAATCAGACTGGAAATGAAAATTTACATCCAGAATATCACCAAAACTACACAGAATTATCCTTCCAGGTGATGCACAACTCAGATTTAAGTAGTTGCAAACCGCTTCACATCAATTTGCCCAGCCCTGAGCACCACAGAACTGCAAATCATTACATAACAAAAGGGATTTTGTAAATGTTCATACCTGGGGGGAGGTGGAACAGGTTTCTGGACACTGAAGCAGAGCCCATGAGCTTGCTTAGGTCCATGGTATGGATCTTGTCCCAAAATAACAACCTTCACCTGAAAGCAGACCTTGCTTAGCACTGAATTGTAATCAGTATTATTCCCCAGAGAGTGAGGAAAAAAAGGATTATAAACGAGCTTTACCCTAAAATAGAGACAAAAATTGCCACAAACCAACCCCTCCAAGAAACTGAAGTTAAACGCCAGGTATTTCATTGCTAAAGAGCACAGAGCCCACCTAACACTAGGGATTAATATCCTATGGCTTTGCTGCCAAAATAATGAATACAACTAGTACAATCTGAGAGCAGAAGACCAACACTTTCACAGTCACAAAAAAGCACCTTGTTATTTTCCAAGTAAGTGTCATCCCATTTCAGCTTTATGCCACACTTGCTGTGATATTTTTGACAGCTTTTATTGGAAATAACATTACCTTGTGTCGTCTTATTTTCTTTAATAGTCCTTAAGAACAAGAGATGCACAAGATCAAAAAGCTAGGAGTAGGTTAAGCTGTTAACACCAGAAAAAAGATCAAAAGAACCAGAGGATGTTCAGTGGCTTGTGAGGGTAATAAAACCATAAAATCACGGTTTCTTAGCAGACATGAAAGCGAAGGGTGGATTTATGAGTTAGGTGAGCCAAACAACAACGTCCCCACCCCATGGGATCCAAGTTTAAGGGACAAAACACGTAAGGAACGAGTCTGTGCACCCACCCTGCACCTCCAGGGTTTTAAACTGCCCTGATCAGCTCAGAGACCCCCACACCACGGCCCTACTCACATCCCAGATGTCGCACATCTGCGTCCAGGTGAAGACCTGCTCGGGGGGCGGATACACCGTGTAGCGCTTCCTCTCCTCGGCCACGAACGCCATCAGCTGCGGGGGCAGCGGGGGCTCAGGGGGGCTCAGCGGCCGCTCGGGGCGGTGGGGGGGGGTCGGGGAATGCCGCTCACCTCCACGAAATAGGGCTTGGAGAACTCCCCGGCCAGCTGCCGCCGCCAGCTGTCGCCGAAGCCCGGGGGCACGTTCCGCTCCGCCAGCAGCTGCCGCGCCGCCTCCTTGTTCTTGCGGATGCGCTCCTGCTGCTCCGCGCTCAGCGCTGGGCTCGCGTTACCGCCGGATTCCTTCGCCTTCTTGGCGGCGCTCACCTGGAAGCAGCGGGCAGGGGGGTGGCTGCGGAGGGTGCGGGAGGGCAGCGGGGACAGCCTGGTGCGGGAGTGCAGCCTGGGGCGGAGGAGCGGCCCGGGGCGGGAGAGCGGCGCGGCCACGGCGGCACCGGCCACGGCTGCACAACGCGCGGCCACGGCGGCACCGGCCACGGCTGCACAACGCGCGGCAGCGGCGGCGGCGGAACCAGCCATGGCAGAACGCGCGGCCACGGCCACGGCTGCACAACGCGCGGCCACGGCGGCACCGGCCATGCCTGCACAACGCGCGGCCATAGCGGGACACGCCCCGCCCAAGGGGCGGCCCCACCGCGCGCGGCGGTTGCGCGGCAAAACACAAAACGTGCCCCCATTGGCCGCCCGCAGCAGAGAGCACAAACGCCCGCTCGCTATTGGTCACCGGGGAAAAAAGCTCGCGTCTCTCCACTGGCTCGCCGTGGCTGGAGGGGAGGTTTTCACCTAGTAACTGTGACGTCACGGAGGGACTCAGCCTCCATTGGGTGGCAGCGGAGCGTGGCCGCTTGATTGGCAGCTCAGCCACGCGTGGAGAGGCGCGGGAGTTTGGACATTGTGCCCCCCCGCCCCCCCGAACTCCCCTCAGAAAAGGCCGGCAGCGCCCCCAGCCCTCTCAGAGCGCCACACAGAGCCAGGCACGGACATGCCGCCACCAGACCCCTCTCCTCCCTCCGCTCTCCCCTCCTCCGCAGCCGCGGGCCCCCTCAGCCCCCCGACCGCTACCTCAGAATCGCCGCCCGGCTCCGGGGAGCGCCCGCGCTTCTTGGCCGGCACGGGGCTGAAGAAGGAGTGCAGCGTCCTCTGCCCGATCATGGCTGCGGCGGAGCGGGGCAGGCAGCGAGCGAGGGCGGCCGGGGCTGAGTGAGGGGCGGCAGCGGCGCGGAACGGAGGGGGGGGCGGGACTCGGATTTGGCGCTAAAACCGCGCGCGTGCGCTCCGGGGCGTGGCCAGCTGGAGAGGGGGCGGGGCTTCGCGTGCACCCATTTCCCGCGGGATCGCGGCTCCCGTTCCTTCGCTCCCGGGCATCGCTCCCGGTCCCGGGTGCGCCCATGGACGCGTTCGTGGTCAAACTGCCCCGCGGGCCGGCGGGGGATGGCGGCGGCAGCGGCGGGAAGAGGCCGCGGCTGGAGAAGCCTGGCCCGGAGCGGCCGCCGCCGCGGGAGATCCGCGCCGAGGGGCTCAGCTGTGATTACCGCATCCTCTTCGGCAAGGCCGAGGCGGACGAGATCTTCCAGGAGCTGGAGAAGGAGGTGGAGTATTTCGAAGGTATATTCCTGCCCTGTGAGCGTGCTGCAGCACGGGCTGTCCAGGGAGGCCTCCCGAAGGGCCTGGACAGAGCTCTTGGAGACCCTGCTTGGGCAGGAGGGTGGCCTGGATGACCCCACTGGTCCCTTCCACCCTCAACCTTTCTATGTCCAGCTGTATTCCCCTCATTATCCCCCTTCCCAGTGAAGCATTTCCCTGCCCAACCCACCCAGGTGGGTCCCAGGGAAGTTCCCAGGGCCTGGGCACAGCTGGTGGGCACTGGGCGGTTCCTGCAGCCACCTGGTGCTGGCACAAGGCAGCCCTGAGAAGCCAAGGGACACAGGTCTGATCCCGCAGGGTTGGTTTTGCTGGGCTGGAAGTGTTTGTCAAGGGATAATCCTGCAATGGTGACTGGAATTTTCTGGAGATGCAGTGGTTGAGGGATGTGATGGGGGAGGACAAGACAGAGTCCAGCTTTGCTGGGACACAAACCCTGGGAGCAGGGATGACAGCTTTTGGCTTGACATGAGCCTCCTCATTCCTATTTGGAGATTCCCAGAAGCTGCAGATCCAGGAGAATCCTGGACTGTTCAGACACAATACAAACCCAGGTTTGATCCTTCCCCCAGATGAGATGACAAAGCTGCAGGTGTTTGGCACGTGGCACAAGATTCCCAGGAAGAAGGTGACCTATGGAGACCCCGGCCTGTCCTACACTTACTCAGGGGTCACGTTCCACCCCAAGCCCTGGATCCCGGTGCTGACCCGGATCCGGGAGCGCGTCACCTCAGAGACAGGACACACCTTCAACTTCGTCCTCATCAACAGGTACAGCCCCTTCCCAGCTGCACCCAGCGGCTTTTTCTTCAAATATAACAAAATAACCCCCAAATTTATATGTTGGAATCTGAAATGCAGGCAACTCTCAGGGATTTAGGCCTGTAAGTTAAAGCTTAGAATTAAACACAGAATTTAAGACCTTAGGAAAAGGCTTTCAAACTTAAGTGCTAGAAGCAAGAATGTGGACTTGTGGTTTAGAGCAGAGACACTAATAAAACTAAGTAAAACTAAGTTTAAATTAAGGAAAAGGAAGTTGAGAATTTTAGAGTTTAAAATATAGAAAATATAAAAGTAGAAAGATAAACAAGAAGTTTGGAATGCAGCACTATAAGTTAATTATTCTTAAATAATTAATTTAAGAATTTGGTAATGATTAATGAAATAAATTATTAAAGCAATTTAATTATCTATTATTAAATTAATAAATTATATATAGTATATATTTATATGTTATATAATTAAGTATAAAATTCAATATAAAATGTAAAATAAACATATAAAATATATAAATATAAAATATATTAAAATAAAATATATGAAAAATATATTAAATATAAATATATATTTAGATATATATATTTAAAAATATATATTAAAAATATATTTAAATATTTTTATTTTTAATATATTTAAATCAAATATATTAAAAATAAAAATATATAATTAAGTATAGAGTTAAATATAAAATATTAAGTTTATATATTTATAATATATAAATATACAAATATAAGATATAAATATGTAACTATATAAAATTATAAATATTAAATATATTGAAAATAAAAACATAATTATAAAATTAATATATATTTATAATATAAAATTATATATAGACTAATACGTGTAATACAGAAAGATAAATATTAATTTAATTATAATTAATAAATTAATAATAATAATTTAATCATTAAAATTAAATCAATGACCACCCCAGAGTTAATTCCCAGGTATAAAGATGGCCTGGACCACATCGGGGAGCACCGTGACGACGAGAAGGAGCTGGTTCCGCTCAGCCCCATCGCCTCGGTGTCCTTCGGGGCCTGCCGGGATTTCGTGTTCCGGCGCCGGGGCCGGGCCGGGGCTGGGGGCCCGGGCAGGATCTGCCTGCAGCTGGCCCACGGCAGCCTGCTCCTCATGAAGCACCCCACCAACGTGCACTGGTACCACAGCCTGCCCCCACGCAGGAGGGTGCTGGCCCCCAGGGTCAACCTCACCTTCAGGAACGTCCTGCCCGTCTCCAGGAGGGGAAATGTTCAGCCAGGGGGGACTCTGGGCTCTGAGAAGTGAATTTAGCTCCTGCTGGAACTGTGGATTCATCTATTCCAGCAGGTGAATTCTGGATTCACCCCTGGTCCATCGCCTAATGGACAAAATTTAATAATTTTGCTGCTGAAACCTGTGACCACTGATTTCAATGGCAAGGTTCTTCCCTCTGGGAATTGTTGCTCTGGTCCTGCTGATCCCTGTTTTTGCTGATTGTTCCCCTTGTTTTGCTCGGGGAGAAGTTTCTTCTCAGCTGATCTTTATCTAAGCAGTGTTCCAAGAAGATGAAAATGCTCCGTGGCCTGGAGGCAGCAGTTTATAAACACTGTGAGCCACAAGCTGTGGTTATTTAAAGCTGATATTCTACAGGTGGCACTTTCTGTCAATGAGCTCTGGTTTGCTTGGGCTTTTTTAAATTAAAATAAAAGCAAAATGAGCCTGACATGGAGAAGGGGAGTGCTGAGATGTGAGGACTGGGTGTGGCTGGATGTTTCACTCCTGTCTGCTTGAATTCCTCTGCTCCTGAGGGAGGCTCCTCTTGCAGAAGAAGCACAAGATTTTCCCTCTCTCAGGTCCTTTAAAAACCAGGCAGCAAAAAATGCCCTTGTGGGGAATAACTGGGTTGGTCCCATCTCCATTGGAAGGCTGTCACTCTGAGAGTTTATTTTCCTAAATAATTATCCCTAGGGATCTCCTCCTGACTGCCTGAAAGCCACCACCTCCCACACCCACAGGGAATCCTGCTGGAAAGGAGGGAATTCTGTCCAGTCCCCAAGAGATCTTGAACCATCAAGGAATGGTAAGTTCTGGGTGAGAATGGGAACCAGGTTACCAATCCTGTGTAACCTGGCTACAGCCACTGGAATTGGGGCTCTGGCCTTCAGTGGTGGGTCCATTATTCCTATGGAATTAAGGCTACTTCCCACCCTCTGCCACTCTGAGATGCTCTGTGGAGCTTGGAAATCTTTCTTATCCAGGGCTTGTGAAGTGTTGTTTCAACCCCTTTGGCTCCCAGCTTGGTGTTTGTTTCAAGACATTCCCACACTGATTTTTCTACCAAGTTTGTTCTTTTATTGCTACTGTACAGTTACAAAAATACCCTGAAGTGGAAAAAAAAAAAAGCAACTTCAAACAGCAGTGCAGTGCTTGGACTGGAACAGACATTTTTAAATTAACACACAAAATAAGACAAGAATAATCCAAACACAGAAATGTCATCTTGGAGCTCTTAATTCTTTACAATTTATTAACATCTTCTCCACCATGGCAGCTTGGGAGGGACGAGTACCAGAGTTTGAGCCTTGTGGCTGCACAGAGCCCTCCCAGATGGGAAGTTTGGCTGGAAAACAGATCCCAGTGACCTCCAGAGGGGAGGTTTGGCTGGAAAACAGAATTCTGTGACCTCTGGAAAGACAGATCCCAGTGACCTCTAAAGGGAGGCTGGGCTGGCAAACACAGAGCCCTGGGACCTGCAAAGGGGAGGGCTGGTTCCCAAACACCTGCACAAATTCCAGTGATCTCCACAGGTGTGGTTGGCTGGAAAACAGATCCCAGTGACCTCCAGAGGGGAGGATGAGCTCCCAAAGCCCTGCACAGATCCCCAGCTCACAGGGGGCTGGCAGGACCTGGCACAGCTCAGGGCCAGGACTGAGGTGCTGGGCTTTGCTCCCTTCCTCACCTGAGGGTTAAGCCAAGCTCATTTACTCCTCCCCACCAAGCAAAGCCAGAAAAAAGGCTCAACCCTCCCCTTGATAGCCCTTGAGGGAGATTCAGAGTCAATCCACAGCCCAGGGGAACAGCTCTTGGCAAAGAAAACCTGCTGGTCCCAGCTGCCAGATTTCAGGTTTCATTCCATAGTGTGCGTGTCCTCTGCCCCTCCTCCAGCACAACCAAGAGGCTGCTCAGCTGAACCCCCAAATCCAAGAAAAACCCCCCAAATCCAGGAAAAACCCCTAAGCAGAGCATTGAGCCTGGAGAATGCAGGACAGCCACTGCTGGCACTGGGAATGGTTTCAGTTCTGAGGTGCAGGGGCAGATGTGCTGGAGGGAGATGTTGGGGTGATGGTTTTAGATGGGAGGGCTGGCTCCTTCTCCAGCTCTGTCAGCTCTCCCTTCAGTGGCCAGAGCAAATTTTTGGCATTTTGCATCCTTCGAGGTTTTTTTTGTTTGTTTGTTTTCTTGGTTTTCTGTAAGTTAAAGCAGGTTAAAACCAAGCTACTGCTCGTGCAGCACAACCAGGAAACCAGGTCCCAGTCCAGCAGTGGATTTATCAATATTTATGTACTATGAGCATTACCTGGGCCAGGAATTGTGCTCCAGACTCTGGAATGATGAGTTGTGTAAATAATTTTGCATATCCACCCATTTTACCACTCCTGCTTTGGCTGGTTTGGAGCCTCTCCTGAGGAAGTGTGAACACCCCCGAGCTTTGGGCAGCACTATGAATTCATGAGGTACAAAGTTGCCCTAAAAAAACTATTTAAGACAGTTGTTCTTTGAAAACTTCACACTGAAAAAAAAGCTTGTCTGATGAGGGATTTTTCTCCTCCAAGCTTACAAGGACAGAAAAGAGCTAAAAACAACCTACATATTTTATTCCTGGTCATTTAAAAGCAGGTTTTTAAAGGAGGAATTTTGCTGCTTCTCCCTCTGTGCTTTGGGATTTTTTTTTTTTTTTTTTTTTTTGCACATCAAACAATCCAGAGCAGCAGAATTCCCCTTATTTCTATTTACAGGGCAGCTGATGCAGGATTCCCAGATTTCTTCATGAGACCAGTAAGTGCCCACCAGTCCTGGCCCTCTTGTTCATATTCCATTTAACAAGGCCAGGGGCTGCTCTACAGCTGAGCTGCAAGCCAGGAGCATGGATCCCAATGCTGGGAATAGCAGATTCCAGCAATAAAATGGGAAGGGCAAGTCTAGAACAGTTACAGCAGCTTGGTAATCACAGCATTAAAAGTTGTAGTTGATGCTACAAAACAACTGGATTCAACAGTGCTGAAGGAAATGACAACACTGAGCACTAGCAAACACTTCCATGTGCTGATTCCAGCTAGATTCCAAAGGTATGGAGCAATAAATTAAAGTTTCAGCTCTTTATAGATACAAAATTATATCTCCTGGATAAAGCAATTTAGATCAGGAGAAGGACTTTATATTATTAAGTGGGAGGAAAATTGTGTGACCAGGGAAATCTTTTGGATGGGGGCAGTTTGTGGAGATGCCTTGACTTGATGGGTCAGGAGAAATGGGACTCCATGGGTTCATCCCATGGGTGTGAGGCATTCCCAGGACGCAGTGGGCATGCAGAGGGCTGGGCCAGTGGCAATGCAGCTGCTCAGGGAAGCTCAAGGCACTTTGTGTCTTAAATCATTGCCAACAGCAGCTTCCCATCACCCCATCCCAGGGCTCCCCACTGGGAAACATTGGGAATAGAGCCTTGGTATGATAAAATCCCTGCCTGACAGACAAAGGCTGCTCAACACACGCTTGGGGCTGGAACAGCTCTGGGAATTTTGGTACAAAACACAATTCCCAGCCATTGCCACGGGAAGGGAACCTGGAGGGGCTGGTGCATCGTGGAGAGGTGCCAGGGGAGGGATTGGGATGGGGGGGGACTCCTCAACAGCAGCTTGACATCAACCCTTTCCAGGGCTCCCCCTTGGGAAGTGAAATGTGTGGGATAAAGCATCTCCCTGGGAAAAGTGCGGTGTCAGGACATGGAACAGAGCCTTGGCACAGGCAGAAAACACTTCTCAAACACACACCTGGGGCTGCACGGTGCTGGGACAGCAGGATCTGGGTACAAACCACAACTCCCAGCTGCCCCCACCGGCAAGGGAGCCTGGAGAGGGGGAGGTTTGCATAATGGAGAGGCTCCATCCGAGGGCTGGGACCATCCCAGGGGCCGGGATGACCCCAAGGACTGGGGCGACCCCAAGGATTGGGACCGTCCCAAAGGTTGGGATGACCCTGAGGGCTGGGACCATTGCAAGGGCTGGGACCATCCCAGGGGCTGGGACCATCCCAAAGGTTGGGATGACCCTGAGGGCTGGGACCATCCCAGGGGCTGGGACCATCCCGGCAGCGCTGGCTCAGCTCTGGGCCGGGCTCTGGGGCTGGCCCCGGCCGTGCACGCGCTCGTAGAACAGCAGGTAGGCGCTGGCTGCCAGCACCTCGTGCAGGCTGGCCCTGCGCACGGACTCGTCCGAGATCCAGAGCCACTGGCTGCCGCGGGCGCCCGGCGCGCGCCGGAAGGTGACGAAGTGTCCCGAGTGCATGTCCCCGTGGTGCACCACCACGGCCATCAGGCGGTACAGGTACAGCGGGGCCCTGCGGGGACACGAGTCAGCCTGGCCACACACACACACACACAAACGCCAGAGCAGCCACAGTTCCTGCCTGGAGCAAGGGCGTGGCTCCCTGTGCGGCTGCTCCGCCCCTGCTCTAATGGAATCCCTGCCCTTGGTAAGTGGTGGGATGGGATGATCTCCAAGTTCCCTTCCAACCCAAATCATTTTGTGATCCAAACTGCTTTTTCCTGCTGCTCCATCCCTGGAAGTACTCAAGGACAGGCTGGATGGGGTTTGGAGTGACCTGGGATAGTGGAAGGTGTCCCTACCCATGGTAAATGGTGGGATGGGATGATCTCAAAGTTCCCTTCCAATCCAAATCATTTTGTGATCCAAACTGCTTTTTCCTGCTGCTCCATATCTGGAAGTGTGTAGGAAAGGCATTTTGTGCTGTTCTTGTGAGCCAGCAAAGGCTTCCTAAAGATAAGGAAAGCCCCGGATCTCTATCGAGGAAGACACCAAGGCAATCCCCATGACAACATGATAGAAGAGAGGAAGTTAAAAGATACAGACTCTAGCTGGCTCACAGAATGGCGTGGCTCCTTGTTCACCTATTGAGAATTTGTTTCTTTCTTATGACCAATGGGCAGTGAATGTGTCTGTTAAGTAAATGTAAATATCTTGAAAAACTTTAAAGGCAACATGTTGCTCTAATAAATCTCTCTTGTGCACCCTTCTGATGGAGTCTTGGTGCTTTGCACCATGTCACGCTCTATAGTGACATAAGTGTCCAAGGCCAGGTTGGACAGGGTTTGGAGCAGCCTGGGATAGTGGAAGGTGTCCCTGCCAATGGCATCTCCAAGTCTCCTTTCAACCCAAACCATTCTGGGATTATGGGATTCAAACCTGCTGCTCCATGCCTGGAAGTACTCAAGGACAGGCTGGATGGGGTTTGGAGTCACCTGGGATAGTAGAAGGTGTCACTGCCCATGGGAAGGGGCCTGCACTGGATGGTCTCTAAGTCCCCTACCAACCTAAACCATTCTGGAATTCTCCAGAAAAGGATTATCAGCAGAAGGACAAGGACAGAAGAAAAGGAGACAATTTGAAGGACAGAATTGAACAGACAGGGTACAAATCTCTAACTTAC